CCTTGGAAACCCTGTAAGGTGAGTTGGAACCAACTCAATCATAACATAATTTGTGTTATGAATTAAAGTACACTGTTTATAACATGGAGTCCCTGACTGGTATAATGAAAAGTTGAAGGTTTCAGTCCTCTCAGAGGTGCCTTGGAAGAAAAACCTGGTAATCTATTTTTTTTAAAAAAAACCCAGCCTTACAAACCCTACAGAATACAGTTATATTCTGATACATATGGGGGTCATCATGAATCAGGGTTTATAATACCAACAAATCAGTGTTACAATGGTTAAGCATTTGGTTGCTACCCCAAAGGTTATCAGTTCAAACCCACAGCCATACTTCAGGAAAACTAACTTGGTGATCTGTTGCACCCTATAGAGCAGAGAAGAACAATACAGTTCATTCTTCTCTGCTACATGTTGTTGTTGTTGTTAAGTACCATCGAGTCGGGTCCGACCCATAGCGACCCTGTACAGGGTTTCCGAGGGTGTAAATCTTTACGGGAGTAGAAAGCCTCATCTTTCTCCCGCGGAGCGGCTGGTAGTTTCGAACCGCTGACCTTAAGGTTCGCAGCCCGATTCGTAACCACTACGCTACCAGAGCTCCTTTCTCTGCTATAGAGGGGGGGGGGGGTAAAGAGTCAGAACTGATGGGCTGGCACCCAACAACAAAAAACATGTATTTTTCCCTCATGTTTCTGTAATGCATGACTAAAGTCACTGTATGCACAACTAAATTTTTGCTTGTCTGTTTACCCAAATACGTTAACTGTGGAGATTACATCAGCTGACCTCTGTAGTCCTTTCTCTTTCTAAAGTTTTACAAATGAATTTTGTGGAAAAAAAATAATAAAGCGATGTCAAGACATCAGTACAAACATACACAAACAAAATGCTTGATGAAGACTTGTTAAAGCAAAGGGTGTCCTAAATGGAAAGACAGGGTTCTGTGTGGTTCCTGTTCTGATGATTCTTAGAAATCCCCTCTGGTAGCACTCTGATGTGCGCCTGGACTGAGTATGGACATCTGAGTCATCACTATCTTTTAAAGTAATGAAGACATCGATGAGGATGGATAAAACAATTGGTTAAGCACAAGACAGCAAGGACCTTACTGTGTGCCACACACACAGTGCTTTTCACACATTGTGTTTTATGTACCATGAGGCTTGCTGTACACATAAAGAAAGCAACATTGTTGATAGGAGCTTATTAGTCGGTTCCAACTCACAGCAGTTCTACGTACAACAGTGCCAACACTGGGCCATCCTTTCAGTCATGGCTATGTCTGAGCCCACCTGCTGCAGCCATTTTGTCAATAATTCATCTCATCAGGGTCTTCCTCTTTTTCACTTATTCTCAATCTGGTAACTATGGTATAAGAATGGTGATCCCACTGGGAAAAATGATGCTCCAGGCTGTAGCTCAGATTACTAGTTTTCTATGAATAAATTAAGCCAAGAAAGTTAGAGAGACAAGTAAAATGCTCATGGTTTCCTAAACAGTAGCATTAGCACTACAATATCCTTTATACTTTTTGGATTTTCAGCTTACTTTTATCTCTCTCTCTATTCTTTTTTTTTTTTTGGTACTTATACAAGGATTGATTTCACTCTGATTTTATTCTTTTAAGGAAAAAGGAATTTCTCTTGTAACCTCAGAACCATTTATAAATTTACTAAAAATGCCTGCATTCCCTTTGATATGTAAAACTGTGGGATCACCTGAGTGAAAGTTACATCAAAATCATTTATTTGACTTTTGGTAAGCCTTGAAAACCTCAAAAAGAAACTTCCTTTTTCACTGATGTAGGGGTAAGTAGAAATCTTCATAACAAGTAAATTAAACCTTCCTTATAGCTCTTCAAATGTTTTATCATATCTTTAGCCAACCTGAGAAGAATGATACTGCAATGGTGGTCACACTTGGAAAACTTATTCTCCAGGTTATAGCATGGTGTCACGGGTGCCATGGCAAGATTAAGCCAAGGACACAGGTTCAATAACCCACATAAACCAAAATAGTCAAGAGAAATGAAAATTGATCTTTTGAGAACAGGGTCCGATGTAGTGTACTTGGGAATACAGAAGAATGGAAGCTGCCCATTATTTACGATAATGATCAGTTTTTTCTTAAATATCCTTAGAAGGATAAAAAGGGATAATAGAGACGAGGGATTTAAATTCCCTACAGAACAGCTCAGCTATTAATGGGGGGTTGTCAAACACAGAAATGGAATTCTGAAAATGACTTACATATTTATGTAAATCATGACTGTACAAATAAACATGAGCAAACTTCTAGAAATCACCTTATTTTTCAAGGGAAAACTTCAAATCTGTATAATTGGTTTTCTATTCATATTTGGTTATCTCAAGTTGTATTTTTTGTTTGTTTTTTTTAGCTGGGATTATAATGTAACTCTGTTTTTCCTCTTATCCAAAAGCTCTTGTAACAGATTCTGTGAAACTGTGTAAATGTGGGAACAGATTTCTAAGGAGATTTAAAATTTTCAGTTCCCCAAAAAAAGATTCCAAATTTCCTGTGGAAATATGATCCCATGTAAAGACAGGGGTGGGCAGATTAGAAGCTTTGAACTTTCTTTCCTTCCTGGCTAAATTTCTTAGGACTGAACATTGAGGTCACCTAGAAATATCACTGCTGTTCTAGCCAGCAGTTTGCCTGAGGGGAGCTTTACTATAGCTCTAGGTTTCAGTAAGGAGTCCTGGTGGGCCTCTGTGGTTTCATGTGGTGCACTGCAAGGACAGTGTGAACAGCAAGGTCAACGGTTCAAGTTCACCAGCTGCTCCTTGGAAACCCTATAAG